TTCATAAAACAATTTACCGAGTGTGACATTGAGAGAAATATCATTGCTGTATCGTCCAATGCCATCGGTAGCGATTGCATTAGTCGTAATATGATCATTCCTCTACTAGATATCCTCACTCCTGTAATTACGAAAATCCTTAATAAATCCATATCGTCATCTGTTTATCCTTCTGCATGGAAAGAAGCTAATATTATTCCTTTACCTAAGAAATCCAAACCTGAGTCCTTTTCTGATTATCGTCCTATTTCAATATTGCCTTTCCTTTCCAAAGTCCTCGAAAAGTTAGTCCATCAACAGTTAAGTAGATTCCTTTCCATGAACAATCTTCTAAATCCACTTCAATCCGGTTTCCGTCCCGGTCATAGTACGACTACTGCACTTGTCAAAATCGCAGATGATATACGTATGGGTATGGAAAATCGGCAGCTCACTGGATTTTGATATCTTATTGGCTATGTTGGTTTCTCTCAATGTAGCTCCACCAGTAATTGATTGGTTTCATAGTTACCTGCATGGGCGGCGGCAGCGCATATGCGTGGATGGATATTTTTCATCATGGTGTGATTCAACAGCCGGCGTTCCGCAGGGTGGCGTTTTGTCTCCTCTCCTTTTCTCTATTTTCATAAATTCAATAACTCTTCCTCTCTCTTCTTCCTATCATATGTATGCAGACGATCTCCAAATATATACTCAAACTTCTATAGAGGAATTACCTACAGCCATCACAGTTACAAACAACGATCTGGAACTCATATCTGACTGGAGTCGGCGGCATGGTCTGTTGGTTAACCCGCGCAAAACGCAAGCTGTAATTATCGGAAGCCATTGGTATAATGCTAGAATCAACAAAAGCGCTCTGCCACCGATTTTGTTAAACGGCATCCACATACCACTTCAGGACACTGTAAAAAATCTTGGTGTGTTGTTTGACAGTAACTTGTCTTGGAGTCACCATGTTGGTGAAGTTAGTAGGAGAGTTTTTGGTGCGTATGGCTCACTGAAGCGCCTGAAAAACCTGTTGCCGACCAAGACTAAAATTTCTCTTGCACAGTCCCTTCTTCTCCCGTTGCTTGACTATGCCGATGCGTGTTACCCTGACCTTAGTGTTGTTCTTCTTAATAAACTCGAGCGTCTGCAGAATTTATGTATTAGATTCATTTTCGGTCTGCGTAAGTACGACCATATCTCTTATTATCGTTCCCAACTTCAATGGCTACCCATTTCTCGTAGAAGAGACTGTCACATCCTATCACTCCTTTATTCTATCCTCTTTCATCCACACACTCCTCTCTATCTTAAGGAGCGTTTCACTTTTCACTCATTTAATCCTGTTCGTGACCTTCGGTCTTCTCATAACCTATCCTTAGTTATCCCACCCCACTCCACTGACTTCGTAGCCAAGTCATTTTATGTAAGAGCCGTTAAATTGTGGAACTCTTTACCTTTAGATATTAAACGTGCACGGACGAGGGACTCCTTTGCTATTAAAGTTAAGGATTATTTTCTCAAGCTGGACTCTGGCTGATCTTTTTATATGTTCATTACTTTGTATTGTATTTTATAGCTTCCATATACTTTCTATATTTTATTTTCCTATATTTACGTTTATTAATTTATTTTTACAATGCACAGCCCGCTGTTTCTACTATTCTTATGGTATCGTTTCATTTAGCCAAAGGTTGCCTGGTAGAAATTGCTACCTTAGCAATAAGGCCGCCTTTTGTGTTTGCGTTCCTGTTTTATGTTTATTGTTTTTTTTGTAATAGTGCAATAAAGAGTATTCATTCATTCATTCATTCATTCATTCATTCGTATACACTGATACATATATATAAGTATATTTATATAGAAATATATATTATAAATCCATGACTGGAGTACAAATGCTCGTATTCATCACACAAACATCTGCCCCCACCGGGACTCGAACCCGGAACCTCTCGAGTAGGCGACGCCTTGAAACTCAGCGTACATACGATAGGATATAGAGGGGTCTTTTGAAAAAGGAATAAGCAACTTTTGCTGCGAAAATGAAATTAGTGCCAATTGAAATCAACTAAAAGATTGTATGAAAAATTCATTAAGGGATAAAAAATAGTATGATAAATTCATTAGTCTACGACGCAAACAAATTTGCTTGAAAAGTAAAAACTTTTTGATAGGTTGAATCCTTTATTCCCAGTTGCCCCAGCGGGAACAGCCACCGGAGGCAAACGAGAACAAAAAGAGGAAGTGGGGGCAACGAATTCATTCCCATTTGCCTCTGGTGGCAATCCCCGCAGGGACCACTGGGAATAAAGAGTTGAATCAAGTTACTTTTGTTATTTGTATCAACTTTGATCAAAGGTAAACATATCACATTTTTAACATACCTATGCTAGGAAGGAGCTCGGTGCCGCAAGTGGTTAGCGCGTTCGGCTCATTGGATGGGTGACCAAAAATCTTCTATCTCGTGTTCCTCCATGCATCAGAAGGCACGTTAAGCCGTTGGTCCCGTCTGCATCCGGAGTCGTTAGCACCCAGGGGCCGTTCAAGTATTACGTAAGCACTATGGGGGGGCAGAAGGGTCTTTGCTTTGCTTATTTTTGATGACATGGGGGGTTAGGGGGTCGAAATAGTGATTACGTCAGCATCATGGATTCCGGTGTCATGGACTGAAGACCTTAGACTGTTAATTGGAATTAATATGTATACCAAAAATTCGGAAGAAGTATGTTTTGTTCGTAATAGTACTAAATAAGATGATAATATTTGTACCTTACTGTATGTGTCAATAAAGTTTGTTTAAATGAATACTTTGTGCGTTAAAGTCCTCTATCCTTAGCCTATTTAAGTACTGTTGCTCATGAAGCTCATGAAAGCTCATGAATGGATAAAAAAACAAAACATTGAAGGAAAAATGCATATAGAGGTAGCAATGTGCCGTGCAAAAAAACTTCTGCCAGCCCTCGCTGCCACCTCTGAGATGCCCAGACGGAACACTAGCTCATAAGCCGCAGGAGAAAGCCGATTTACTGGCAAAACTCTTTGCGGCTAACTCCCGCATCGATGATTGCAATGCACTGCCACCATCATTACCTCACTGTGGCACAACGATGCCTGATATTAAAATCAGGCAGCGTGAGGTTCGTGCCGAATTGCAATCACTCGACGTCCGGAAAGCTAGAGGACCTGATGGCATCCCAGCAGTAGTACTTAAAAAATGTGCAGCGGAGTTGTCTCCCGTGCTCACGCGCTTGTACCAATGCTCGTATTCTTTGGAGCGTGTGCCGGAGACTTGGAGAGATGCTAACGTGCAACCGGTGCCCAAAAAAGGGGATCGCTCAGACCCGGCAAACTATCGGCCAATAGCAGTCACCTCAGTTTTATGTAAAGTTCTAGAAAAGGTCCTTAATAACCATCTGACCCGCTACCTAGAGGATCACTCCCTGATTAATGATCGTCAATATGGATTTAGACCGAAACGATCGACGGGTGATCTTCTAGCGTACTTAACTCATATCTGGGGTGAGGCTATCGACAAGCGTGGCGAGTCGTTGGCTATCAGCCTTGACATTGCCAAGGCGTTCGAAAGGGTCTGGCACAAAAGCCTTCTCTCCAAGCTTCCGGCATACGGTCTGCCAGCCCAGTTCTGTTCTTGGGTAGCTGACTTCCTGCATGAGCGTAGAATTCGTGTCCTTACGGATGGTAGCAGTTCGCGGTTCATGTCAGTGAATGCCGGCGTTCCCCAGGGCTCCGTCCTATCCCCCACTCTCTTTCTGCTGCATATCAATGACTTGATTCCTCTTGGGAATATTCATTGCTATGCAGACGATAGTACAGTGCATGCGGGGTATCTCGGACAAGCAGCGGCTGGGCAGGCAGTAACCAGGGAGAAACGGGAAAATCTTGTCATTGAACTCAATCAGGCTTTGGACCACATTTCCGAATGGGGTACCAGGAACTTGGTTGGGTTCAATGCCAAGAAAACTCAGGCTTGCGCTTTCACGGCAAAAACATCGCCATTCCTTCCCCTTCCATCTCTTCAGGGCACAACACTACCGCTGCAGAGCAACATTTCCATGCTCGGTATGGAAGTTCGCTCAGACCTGAATCCAAAGGACTACATCGAAACCGTGATCAAAACAGCTTCACGCAAACTCGGAGTCCTGAACAAGGTGCGGCGTTTTTTCACGCCCGATCAACTGTGCTTGTTGTACAAAACGCAAGTGCGGTCCTGCGTGGAATATTGCTCGCACCTCTGGGATGGCTCCGCCAAGTACTTGCTCGATGCTTTGGATAGGTTACAGCGGCGCGCAATCCGCATCATAGGCGATGAGGAGGTGACTAAACACCTTGAGCCTCTTCAATTACGCCGTGACGTGGCGTCACTAAGCGCGTTCTATCGTTTGTACCACGGCGAGTGTTCTGAGGAGTTATTCTCTCTTATCCCACCTTCCCCTTTCCTTCAGAGGACCACGCGCGCTGGCCTACGTTGTCACCGTCTTACTGTGACCACAATTCCAACGCGTACAAAGAAATTTGGTGACTCATTTCTTTGTCGCACTATCCGTAAATGGAATGCTCTACCCACTCACGTGTTCCCTCCCTCTTACAACCTGGGATCCTTTAAAAGAGGCGTGAAGAAGCAACATGCAGGCCGGCAGGGTGAGGATGGCTGGTGTGGCAGGTAGAACTACTGTATCAGCTATCTTCGCGTCTGGACTTCACCTTCACTTAACATCAGGTGGGGTGGAGTCATTTGTCGGACCTAACTATAAAAAAAAAAAATGTTTACGTAAGCACGGGAGGGGGATAAGAGCTTTGCTTACTTTTGCTGACAAGGGGGAGGACGGGGTAAATAATTGTAGTAAATCTGCTAACGTAATACTTGAACGCCCCCCCACCAATCCGCACTGGGCCCGCGTGGTGGGTCATGGCCTAATCTCCCTATTCCATCCATAGGGAAGGCCTGTGCCACAGCAGTGGGGACAATAATAGGCTGATGATGAACGTACCTATGCAGATGTTGAACCATGTACTGCAAGCAGTTGAAATGCGCCGGCGGCAACGAATCGAGACATTCGCGCAACATGCTCACTTGAGAGGATACAGTCTTGATTTCTACGAAAAAATCAGAAAAATATTTTAATTGCATGCCTTAAATTAAGTAGACTTTGGTGTCAATTCTGGATTCTCTATACTTAAAACTAAATTTAAGATCAGTGTATCATTTTCATTCTGTATAGAGATTGTTTACAAATTTAATTTTAGGTTTTGATAATCATGTCAGAATCGACATCTTTGAAGAACTAATGTTAAAAAGAATCTTACCCAAGTTATGGAAATAAAAATTTTCATATAATCATTCATTATTGAAGTATAGCACATAACAGATAAGTGAAACACGATCGCGCATGAATTCATCAATATTAACTCTATTGCATTGCTATTGTGCTAGATGCATTGCTATATGCTAGCAGTTCAATAAGGGTTGCCAGATCAAGAAGTATAAATATCGGGATAGTATTGTTAAAATGTCGGGATTTTGGGATTGTCGTCGGGATTATTACATTTCGGATTCGGATACACGCAGACAGACAGCAGCGCAGGCAGACATGAGCCCACCATTTTTTAAAAAATATTTATGTGGCGCAGGGGGTTAACGATATGTGTATTGTCATGTTCTTTTGTCGGGAGATTTCGTTATTCGTCGGGCTTTGGAGACATCACAGGAAATGTCGGGAGAATCCAAACGACCATCTGGCAACCCTAACTTCACTTTGATTATTGTAAACATGACATCAGTCCTTTTCATTTCTTGTAAAGCATGATCAGCACAGACTGATGGCAAGACTACAAATAGTAAACACGAATAGCCAAGTGAAGTGCCGGCATTAGGTGCAGCTGTAGTGGTAAGAATTCGTGAAATGTATTTGAAACATCAATCTTTCCCTTCAAAAATGTAATGTGTCATTGTAATTGCTAGTGGAGTTATGACGAACTCCGTGGCCGATTGATATGTACGCTGGGATTCAAGATGTCGTCTACTCAAGAGGTATGAATCCCGATGGGACAAATGTTAGTATGATAAATACGAGCATTGTACGTAAGTCATGGATGTCTATATGTATTTCTAGATAAAAATATACTTATATTATCTGCATTTTAACCGTTACCCTAGTATCCTATAACACAAGTCTTTCAGTGCTTACTTTGGGGCTAGGCTAATTGGTGTGTGAGGAATATATTTATTTAATTACTAGCAGCCGCCCGCGACTTCGTACGCGTGGAGTTCGTTAGAAATAAAGGTTCACTGCTCGTTCCCCGTAGGTGATAGCGTGATAATATGTAGCCTATATGTTGACCCGACTTCTTAATAATATTCGTGCCAAATTTGAAGTAAATCCATGCAGTACTTTTTGAGTTTATCCCGGACATACATACAGAAAAACAGACAAAAATTCTAAAAACTATATTTTTGGCTTCGGTATCGATTGTAGATCACACCCCAAGTATTCTTTTTAAAAAATATTCAATGAACAGTTTTGACTTTCCTACCATTTTACTATATGTATAGACTAGCTGACCCAGCGAACTTCGTACCGCCATCAAAATAGGGGCAGGTGGTAGAAGCGAAAACTTATGGTTGTATGTATTTTTTAATACCACATTATAAAAAAATAAATATTGTCCAAATAAAATTTTAGGGTTCTGTAACGTAGTGTTCTATCAATTTCGTGGGATAACATTACTCCTATCCCATATGAGAACACTACGTTACAATACCCAATAGTTTGAATTTTGGCGCAGAGGCGCATTGTAGGTTTCAGAAAACTACGTTACAGGTGGACAACCATTACCACTTAAGGATATGAAAAATAGATATAAAATTTCATTAAAATCGGTCAGGCCATTTCGGAGGAGCATGGTAACTAACATTGTGACACGAGAATTTTATATATAAGACATTACTCACGTATGGCTTGAACTAGCTTCGGGTGTACTTCGTAAGTGACAAGGGGTACAGGCAGTAAACGCAAATACAGTTTGAGTGTGCCAGCCACTACATTAATGTTGCTGTACTGACTAAGATCAGCTGCTTCCCCATCTGCAATAAATATTAAAGAATACTCTTGCATTAAATAGGGTTGACAAAAGGTGTTCGCATATAAAGCATATGTTTAGCTTAGGAACTTAAAGCTATTTAGCAATATTAATAGCACGCAAAAGATTCTAATATGTACTTTAAAAACATAACAGTCATATTACAGTATTCTCATTATAGATTATACAATTTATGAAAATACAGTTATAATTCTAAAGTATAGCAAAACTTTGTTGCATTTTTCTTTTTTGTTGGACTTTTTCACGAGAGGTAAAAGAATATTTAAAAAAAATCTTATTTCTAATTTTGTGGATAACGTTGTTTAAGCACCTGTTTAAGATTAATTTGACTGTAAAATGAAATAAGTTATTTTAATTTGATCAAAAACGTTATTTTCTAATGGATTGGTTAAGTGAATTTAGTCACATTAATTCATTAAAATTGTAAAATATATATTTTGCAGCTAAATAATGTTTTCGGGGGTCTTTTGTACCCCTAGCACGAACCAATATCGGCTAGTCTAGGTAGGTAACTAATAGGAGGTTCGATGTTACAACGCTGCACCTCCTACCTCCTCCCTTCTCATTAGTGGTTAGCCATCGACTAAACAAAGCAATATTACTTATTACGACTGTTCTGCTATGATACTACGAAGAGTTCCGTTACACATCTCTGAAGTCCATGATCAGATCATGATATTTTTTCTATGGGACCATCTAGGGAGTATACCTCTAGGGGTATATGGGTTAGAGAGAGAGAGCAGGAGCCTGCCAACGCGTTACGTAACGAAGCGTTTTACCCTCCCTTAAGAAGTTATCACACCTAAATAGAATTTTGAAAATCGGCCTACAATTGACGAATCAATCGCATAACATACCTACATATAAAAAACACATACAGATGAATTAGCAATCACCTCCTTTTTGAAGTCGATTGAAAAAAAGGTTACAACGATGAACAGTACCCCTAGCACGAACCAATATTGAGTTCGAATAGTTTGTGAGTCCGAAATGTCATTGTCAAATGTGTACTGATTTTTAGTTCTCGTTACGTACTTTGTGCAGCTGCTGTTCAAGTTTCCATAAAAAAAATTGACATTGCCACTTCGGTTTGCAAACTATTCGAATTCGATAATGATTCGTGATAGGGTTACTGTTCTGCGAAAGGAGGTTCACATAATGTAATGATAACGTAGACATAATTATAAATTACCTTTATCAAATGCCATCTTCAATGCTTCTATCTCATCTGCAAATCCTGAAACCCTATAGATGCCTTCCGAGTCCATGCCTCTCGCCTCAATCTCATTAACACACTTCCTGACCACAAATGGCAATGTGCTTGAATGGGCATTGAGTAAAGTTGTCAGATCTATACCGAATACGCCACGTATTTTCTTCAGGTCTGGCGTACAGTGATTCGGAACTCTTTCGGAGCACTTTGAATGTGCTATGAAGCCACAATCTGAAATATTTACTTTGTGAGAATGGAAATGTTTATCTTTTTATGTAAAAAGGGGTTTCAAGAATGCAGTGTGAGTGTTCTGTGGTTGTGACATACTTTTACGTTTAGAGCAAGCGCACATTGGGGTTGTTGATGATGTGACATCATGACATGATTCTCTAAACTTATAATTAAATTTAAAATCAGTCTCTCCTTTTCATTATGTATAGCGAATTGACAAGGATACACTGTAGTCAAATTTAAGTTTAGGTTTAGAGAATCATGCCGAAATCAACACCATTGAACCACTAAACGCGACCACTAGTGGCTCAGTCAAGCCACTAGACGCAGCCACGAATCGAAGCCGCTAGTGGCTTTGTATTGTGGCGCGATTAGTGGCTCAATGTGCGCTTGCTCTTATAGTGCAGCACTCAGATGTGTTAATTATTGGTTGTAGAAGTTACTTTTGTTGCTTTATTCCATTTTCATTGCAAACAAAGTTACACCATCATATGAAATCTAACTTCGAATTAACATCTCTAAAGGTGACCATAGCACTCAGGAAGATTTACATTTTCACTGATAGTCTCAGTATCACAAGAACTTTACTGATTTGTTATTTTTAACTAAATTAATAAGTTTTCAGTACAACATTTTCCTTACCTTCACACTTCACACCTTGAGCTGTGAAACCCCATAAGAAATTTGCACATAGTTCACACCAGTTCAGCCCCTTGAATGTGTGAACTTTGAAACTGTGTGACTTGGAATATTTCATGAGCAAAGGGTTTTCTTCCCAGGTAGGTGTCAGGTCAAATGTTGGTTTCTTTGTTGTATTATCTACTGGCGGTTTCACTTCAATTTTGTCATTGAAGAGAGGAGATGATTTGTTTGAAGTCCTTGAAAATATAGAAGTCAGGAGAAGTTATAGTAGAAATAGATGAACAGGTTACAAAATGTTATTAATTAAAATTTCCTTCATTTGCATAACTTATGGTTATTAATTGCTGATCACTTAATAATGTGCTTTTTAATACGTATAGGTAGTGGTGGCCAAGCCTCCTTAGAACACGATTCCCATCGGCTTCCCTTGGCAGATTCTTATACTAATACATTCATTCTAATACATTCTAGTACAAGTGACTACTAATGTTTAAAAACGTGAATGCAAGCGACATAATTACATTGCGCGCTTTGTAAAAATATTCTTCAATATGCTGGATACAAAATACGCAATGTATTTGAAATCGCGCAAACGCACACAGATCCGCGCCGCGGTAGTAGGCTGCATAAGCCGCTAATATTATTGTGAATTCAAATAAATAAAATGTAAGGACTTCACGCACACATACACATTACTACAACATGCAACGACTCGTCGATATAACAGCGCCTATGAGCCGATCTTAGATAACCTGCAATCTTTATTTGTCATGTGTTAAAATTTCGTTTCGCTTGAAGTTTTGGACCAATCATCTCGCCAAGGGACGCGGTGGCGGTCGGTCTGATAAGTCAACTGAGGTCATTATTTCGCGCGCATTCGCACGGACGGATTTGTATGCTAATTTATCTATTGTGATAAGTGATTAGATTGATTGTGGTACCTATATAGTTTATAAAAATCAAAATTAGTGAAATTTTACTTGCCAAGTGTTGTGTTTAATCTTGTGTTTTAAACGGCTTTACACGTGTGCTTTAAACGGGTTTATAAAGCTACTTTTATCATACTCGACATGCGCTGTTCATATAATACCAGTGATGTCATGTATGGTGAAGGTGGTGAACAATGCTGCACACAACTGTACAGCAAGCATGTTCTGTCGCAAGAAAAACTGCATACCACGTAACGCAAGCACCATACCTAACACTTCGCCGTAGTTTTGGGAAAGCTGAACTAACACACTATTATAAGGTATGTAATTTATTGCATGTTTTTTTACAAGTTAAGATATGACGTTTTGCATTTAAGCAACTTCACGCGTTTTTTTTGGACCTGCTTCATGCATGCATGTATGCATTTGTTTTAGCATTGTACATTAGTTATACATTAATCTCATTTCTAAATATCTTAAGCGTTTGTATAAATTTTAAAACAACCGTGATTACTAAAATAATGATTTTATTAGACACTAGCTTTTGCCCGCGACTTCGTCCGCGTTTTCGTCGATTTTCGTAAAAAAGTAGCATATGTCCTTCCTCAGGGTTCCGTGGTTTTGATGTGACAGACAGATTAACTTTCGTATTTTAGTATATAAAATATAATAATATGTCAATCCACAATACTGTTAAAAATATCGCAATAAGGAACCGCAGAATATTATTATTATCACTGTGCCCCGAGACCATCAGCGTGTAACTCCTTGTATGTTATTATGTTAATGTATTGGTAATATTGTTTAGATCGCTTTCACATGAGGCTTAAGTACATATAGAATGAAAATACTTCAGCGCAAACCTTCCGGGTAAACTACGTTGAAAGTTGACCCGTCCGGCACGTGAACATAAAAATTTCTAGGACTGCTAACCCGGGAAAGAGCGACATAACTGACCATGTGAAAAACAGCTGACACCGAGATCTTCTCCAGCAACACGAAAAGTCTGCCCTTGAGCCTTATTTATTGTCATTGCATAACACACCGATACTGGGAATTGCGTTCTTTTAAATTGGAATGGAAAATTATTTGGTATTATGGGAATTCTGGGAATAAAGATGGTTTCTCCTGCACCGCAACCTGTTAAAATTTGAGCCTCGATTACATTTTGTTGCAACTGGGTTACTTTAAGCCGAGTTCCGTTGCAAATTTGTGGTGGTCTTAAATTTCGGAGCAGAATAATCGGAATGCCAATTTTTAAACAAATTTCATGAGAAGGAAGTCCGAACATATTTAAAGAATTTAAAAATTCTATCGGGTAATTAGTGGTTTCTTGTTCATCGGCCATTCTATTTATTGAACTATAAACTTTGCTGTCCCCCTGGATATTCGACAGTATTTTATTATTAATCTCAGATACCCGGTCATTGCGAGGAGTTAAAATGGACCTTTCGCATAGCCAAGAATTGTCCTTATTTAATATATTTGTTGCGTCACCGTAAACTGACGATGTAAGATGTTGTTGGGATTGCACTATACAACATAACTCAGGCGTCAGAATAAGATTTCCTTGGTGTAGCAGTGGATAGGTATCTTTGGTGAAGGTATTTTCTTTAATAATATATCAGAAAATTCACGATCATCCGGGTTACCTACAGTTCTCACTCGCATGTTTATAGTCAAATGCACCGATTGTATATCACGCCACAAATAAGAGCTTTTCAGGCAAGCCCTAACCTCATCAGCTCGGGTTCCCCGTGGTATAACCGGTAAGGTTTGTCGGAAATCACCACAAAATAAAACTGTGATACCGCCCATTGGTCGATCATTTTGTCTTATATCCCTTAAAGTTCTGTCTACCGCTTCTACTCCTTTTCGATGGGCCATCGTACATTCATCCCATATGATTAAATTTCACTTTGAACGAATATTTAAACACTACCAAAACAACTAATACGTGGTCCTAACTTTACACTTAAAATCTAAGTGACTATTTAAACTAAAATATTCTTATAGAATTATAACCAGAAATATATACAACACACAACAAAAAAGAAATGAAAATAAAGCTGAAACGCCTGTGCAATACTATCTACCTATACCTACTTCACTTAAAAATAAATACTTATAACTACTTTAACTAATAAAAGTACCTACGCTTAATAATTTTTAATTTGAACGAATATTTAAACACTACCAAAACAACTAATACCTATTTTACAAAATAACAACAAAAGAAATTCAAATAAACTATTTAAAGACTAAAAGTCGCGCTGATAAGCACGGTTTCTCAATATTTCTCAATTATTGTCTGTCAATAAGACCGAGCGCTCTGAACGCATCAACAGCCAAATATTGAAGCTCGCTCGCTCTTTTTTTTATTTTTTTTGTTTTCTCCCAGGCGGGGGAGCAGGTGAGAAATCCTCATGGATACCAGACTCGTACTGACTAAAAAACACCCGTAGGGGCTGCCTCTGACCGGGAAGGCCTCTAAGGCTTCATCGGAAGCGATCGCCCCCAGGGGGGGAGCGACGCAGAAAACAGATTTAGACAGCTCGCACTCGGACCTCCCGCCTTTTGATACCCTACCGCCGCACAGTGGGTGAAAAAAAGAGGTCCCCTTTCATAGGATTTTTGAAAAAATAAAAATGTTTATTATCCGTTTAAGGTATGCGGTTTTATTGGACATATCAGTACATTGAATAATAAAATAGTTTGGGGAATTTCCTTTTAATCTAACACCATAAAGCACGGGCTTTAGAGTTTCAAATGTATGAAAACGGAATTTGTTTTGCTCATAACTTGTCTCGGTCTTCTACGGTCAAGCTGAAACTTATAGGGATTATTACCGGGTCTGTTACAAAGCCATGTGACCTTTGACCTTCACCCAGGACGGCCCCGTTCAAAAGATACGAATTTTTAAAAATGCTTATTAGGGTAATATTGCTTTACGGGGTTATGTGTCTCAATAAACAGTTTGTTTATGTTTCTTGCCCAGCATTTAGTTATTAATATAACACAGATTATTATCTAATAAAACTATATAGTAGATAACGACACCATACAACTTAACTTTAAATAAAAGCGTCCTTATTCAAAAGATATGGAATTAATATAAATAGATAAAAGAAATAGTTTTAAGAAAAAGAAAACAAGAATACAATATTGTAAAGAATTACAATGAAGTCGTTTACAGCCTACAATTTAATCTTTTGTTTGACAATCGCTTAAAAGGCGCGCGCCATTAACGAGAGCATCATTACATATAAACAATACAAACTCTATTGTTGCAGGTTTTGAGGAATTCAAAGGGTTACCCACAGTCATTACCTGCCGTTGTTTGCCTATAATAATTAATTTTGTCAAACAAACATACCTACACTTACAATGTCTATCTAAGAAAGGGTTTGATCAAATATGTTTATTTTGGGATACCTAGATCTTTAACTGACTAAGCTTAAAATGAACAAAGTGTTTTTCCAGATAAACTAGCTGGTTATTAATATTAGTAAATGTAGTAAGGGAGATTCTGATATGTTACTGCCAAACGAGAAAATAAACTATTTACATTATGAATAAAACAAAATTATTAACATCAATATTTTTATTTACAAAACTTAAATTACTAACTAAGCTTGATATCATAAATTAAATAATGCATAATAAGGAAGCCACAACTGTATAAATTTCTACACACATACAAGCTAAAGTATAAAAGATTAGTAGAACTCAAATTGGCTACAACAGTTCTTAAATACGTAAACTGTTTATATTAATATGATACAAAGATACAAAAAAATAAAAATACAAAGTTTGATATAATTTGATTTGAGGGAAAGAACACATACTAATCAAAGTCATAATCAGATACATTACCTACATCTACAAACTCTATATTTTCCTTATCTTCACAAGAAGTTAATAATAATGATTTAGCTTCATTTGTGAGAGGTTTATTTCGTTGACATATTTTAGGCCTGAAACTTGATAGGTATGGGTCAGACGATATTAACAAATTATTGATATCTTCATTTGTTGCAATCCTGCTAGATTTACGCGAGTGGAAGGTTCCGAAGTTTTTAAAATCTTTGTTACGAGCTTCAGAGGCCTCTTCAGAGAGCTTGCCGATTGGTATAAAGTTATTGTGCTCTATTATATCGGCACCATGAATGAGTAATTTATGCACGCTTGAGGGCATAAAATACCATTCATAGAGCTCGACATATTTGCGTGCTGTAGCAGCACAATATTGGCGGAATTTTTCCACGTCCACAAACTCTCCACATGAGATAGCCTGAAGAATCACTCCAAATCTTCTAACGAGTTCTTCATCAACACCCGTTATTTGAGCAGTAATTTAAGGATTAACAAAAATTCTCCTTGCTGTGTTTCCATCGTTGCTTGTACCAGCCCCTTGTTTAACAACGTCCACAAGTAGCCCCGTTTCAGTCCGGAATTGTTCTTGAATAGCCTTTTTTCTTTGGCTTAACTGTTGCTTCAAATCTTCGCCCTTAGCTTGCCATTTCTTGAAGTCGAGACGGGAAGCAATATGTAAGATACAGTCCATGCATCTAATTCGTGCATGGAGGGAAGACAGACCGAACTTAAACATGTCTACAGACTGGGTTCTTTGAGTAACCTTGTCGATATCATTCATTTCTTTTGGTTTTGCTTTGCATATATCGCATGTAGCTGTGGATGTATCTGATAAATGTGTAGTTATTTTACCATCAATCATCGTCATATGCAGAACGTGTTTTACATTTGCACCATCGATAACAGTTGGATGTAGAGCAGCAATTTCCGTATCAATTGAAATCATTTCTTCTTTAACATTCAAATCGTTCTCTTTAGCAAACTTAAAATAAATGGGTCGACAGTAAAACGTTGAAGACGCTTTGGGGTTTTCCCATATTATTTCATCAGTACCATCTCTCACCAGTTTTAACAGCACAAATGAACACATGAAGATGCTTGAATCATCGCCGTCAATTTTTTGTTGGTAGTTGCTTTGCCCAGATGCACCGTCAAACCGCCATTTACTGATAAGAGTCGAATTACTGCCAGTTAAATCAGTTTCCAGAGTTTTTAATAGTCTCTTGACCGTAATATCTAAAATAGACTGAAGCTTAAGTTTAACTTCAGTCTCAGTTATTACCATGTCTTCTTTTTCAACGTAGCACTCCTTCTTCTCTTGCTTCAAAGCATCATACGATGGAAGTATATCACACCCCATGTCTCTCATTGTCTGCCTCAATGCAATATACTGCCATTTCGATAATTTTAGTGATGTTGAAATACCGAGTGCCTTATCGGTATGACAAGTTCGTTTCGTCGATTTCAGGCAGGCTCGCAGCATTGGCGTACCTTCAGGCTTTTTAATCAAATGCTTCACTAATTATACAAAGTCCGTTTGGTTTTCATTTTCCGCTTTCCTGGCCAGGGCATAAGCAAGTGTCTCAAAATCGTTTTCGGCAATGAGATTTTCAGTTCTTCTTCTTTTTTGCAGTGGACTCAAATTGGCAAATTCTTTTCGAGGACTAAATGTAGCGGTTGATGTCGACACAGCCACACTATGAGGAACAGTGCATTCCGTTGATAAACTAGGTCTTGTTACTGTTGAAATACTTGTTGAAGGATCTTCAAAACTCGTCATAATATTTGATTGTTCTTCAGTTATGTCTAGTGAAACAAACTCTGGCCATTTTATTTCTTGGTCCAACCAGTCAGCAAACTTCTTTATAAAATTCCCTTGTGTGTAATTAGCTGACTTCCATTTGCGTTTAAGATTACTCGTATATGTAGCACAAAACGTTTTAAGAGTTGTCTTTTGTTCTTCAGATAATGAAAATCTCACTGAATCGAGTACTTTTTGAAATAACATGTCGGCACTAAAAGATTTTTGCCTCATATATATATATACGTCGAGATTACACACAAGCCCTTCCATTCTGAGCAACTTAAAATTAGAGCAAAGAGAACGTTACGGTACGAATCAATAATGATAAGTGAAATGATATACAGATGTACTCCGTATTTATTATAATCGAAGTCATTGTTGAATAATAATTATAACAACGTATTATTTATTCTCCTACCCACAATAAAAGCAAATAATCAGTAATTATTATAGGCTAACAATTGCAGGTAATGACTGTGGGTTACCCTTTGAATTTCCCAAAACCCGCCACAATAGAGTTTGTATTGTTTATATGTAATGATGCTCTCGTTAATGGTGTGCGACTTTTAAGCGATTGTCAAACAAAAGATTAAATTGTTGGCTTTAAACGACTTCATTGTAATTCTTTATAATATTGTATTCTTGTTTTCTTTTTCTTAAAACTATTTCTTTTATCTATTTATATTAATTCCATATCTTTTGAATAAGGACGCTTTTATTTAAAGTTAAGTTGTATGGTGTCGTTATCTACTATATAGTTTTATTAGATAATAATCTGCGCTGTATTAATAACTAAATGCTGGGCAAGAAACATAAACAAACTGTTTTTTGAGACACATAACCCCGTAAAGCAAAATTACCCTAATAAGCATTTTGAAAAATTCGTATGTTTTAAACGGGGCCGTCCGGGGTGAAGGTCAAAGGTCACATGGCTTCGTAACAGACCCGGTAATAATCCCTATAAGTTTCAGCTTGACCGTAGAAGACCGAGACAAGTTATGAGCAAAACAAATTCCGTTTTCATACATTTGGAAACTCTAAAGCCCGTGCTTTATGGTGTTAGATTAAAAGGAAATTCCCCAAACTATTTTATTATTCAATGTACTGATATGTCCAATAAAACCGCATACCTTAAACGGATAATAAACATTTTTATTTTTTCAAAAATCCTATGAAAGGGGACCTCTTTTTTTCACCCACTGTGCGCCGCCGCGACCCGTGTCGAGCGCGGCAACCGTTACACAAAAATAATCCTTATAGCATGATTCAGTATAGGTAATAATGTTAACTTTTTTAAATTAGGGATGAGTCGGAGTATTATAAGCGTAAGAGTAAACAAATATGATCAAAATGCTCCGAACTGCTAAGCTATCGGGAGTTACACGTGTTACTGTGAGTCAACCATAAAAGATAGACATATGCTGTTACGGGATATTTTTTAGACAATTTTATGTAGAATATTTCCGTCATACATGATTTCTATGTAACTTTAATCATTAAGGCTGCACACGCGACGGAAGCTTAAAAAATGGAGTAACTTCTCCCGTTTTCCCAACATTTCCCTTCACTACTCTGCTCCTATTGATTATAGCGTGATGAAAAGTATACTATAACCTGCCCAGGAGTATGAAGAATAATTGTACCAAGTTTCGTTAAAATCCGTCGAGTACTTTTTGTTTCTATAAGGAACATACACACAGACAGACAGACAGACAGACAAAAAATTTGCTGATTGCATTTTTGGCATCAGTATCGATCACTAATCACCCCCTGATAGTTATTTTAAAAATATATTTCATGTACAGAATTGACATCTCTACAGATTTATAATAAGTATAGATAATGATTTTATTAGACTGAATGCAACACTTAGACTAAAGTAGATTTTAAGCCAATACACGACGATGAGATTTGGCTTTTGGATAAATAAATAGTCTCAGCAGAAGTCTGTATATAAATAACATAGTGGTGTAAGTGAATTTACAATATTGAGACAATAGACAAAACATAGAAGCAGGGTGGGTGAAAGGCGGGGCAGGCGAGGCTGTGTCCCAGGGCCTCCCACAATTTACTTAATTATTAATAAAATACGCAAGGTTATCCAAACAGGATAACTGTACTTACTGTTGTATTCTAGATAGAGTGTTTAATTTCCTCCTGTTTAAAGTAACATAGGGACTTTCTGTGTAATTAGCCTTTGCATTGATCATGTCAAGGATTGGTTGAGCCTTCAGCTCCATATGGCAAGTGATAAGACCGTCAGCAACCAAGTCATAAATTGTGTCATAACGTTTGTCCTTCATATAGTGAGTACCATCATAATACAGTTTATAATGGTGTATCCTGTCATTGAACCTGAAATACGAAAATTCTAGAATGACAGAAGTTTTAAAACTGTACATACTATGTGCAATAAAAGGATTGATTTGATATTTTAAATGAACTGGAGGCCGATCGCGCTCAATCAAACGACTGAAACACATTGAACCGTAAACTGACTGCAAATTTTTAAGAACTTTAACAGCTAACAAGCTAATTGGGATGTATACGTATCACGATTGGACTGCACTCCAGTGAACTTCAGTCAAAAAAATAAAGTAGATTTCAGTTGACAGATGAAAATTAGCGCGATATCGATTTCGTATAAAGTTAAGTTGCAATTAGAATTGAACTAAGAATGAACTATAATTGAACTTTGACGGATCGTTCAAAATAATAAATAGCGCGATTGGCCTGCAGTATTCCAATATGAATCAAGTCATCTTTTGCTCGGAGTTTTTTAATGTTACCTCCACGTTAAGGTATAAAAATCGTTATATTCGTTTCCTTTTCTGATAAGAAAAGCTCCATTTGGTTCATTCTCTAACAATACCGTCGCTTCTTTGTGCCCCAAAATGCCGTGGTATTCTTTCCCATAAAATTCAGGTCTGTCTGTGCAGTTGTCACAGCTTATTCGTTTCGGCAAAGGTGCTTCCATTTGTATATGATATACTGAAAACAGTAAATGTAATTAGTCAGAAAGTAAACGGGAACTGCATCTTTTCTTTGAATTTGAGTTGTACTGACGCTCTGGCTTCCATATGTTTCTGAGATCCTCCATTGCAGAGATTTGTTTTGTGTATCCAAAAATGCAGTTTTTATTTTTCTTAAAGTGTATTTAGGTTTTTAAATATTTATTAATTCGTAAATTCAATTTTATTTTATTAAGGCTGGCTGTTGTCTATTTGGACAATTCTGGCAATGTCAGGGTTGAGCACTCACTACAGATGATCAGGTTTTTTTGCAGTTTGACGCATCTTCCATTATTGGCCGGTTGGGTGACCTATAAGGGTTAAATAAAAAGATTACATAGGTCACAATGACAAACACAACGGTTAAAGATATAAGCATTAGTAAGAAAAGGATATTTAAAAGTTACAGTTTGATTTTATAAATGTGTATATAGTTGGCAAGGACTTGGATAAAGGGAGAGTTTCCATGGTTAGTAAGTGGGTTACATTCACAGGGTGGGGGATATTTTTTGGGCAGTTAAAAAATATGTGATCGACGTTTCCTTCGTCAAGACCACATTCGCATAACGAGTGGTCTCTAACCCTAATTTCCTTTAAAAAGACGGGGGAGCATATGTAACCAAGACGCAAGCGAATAATGGTAAAGTGCAGATTTTATCAAAGGAGCGGTATTTAAAAAAACACAGCTTAGAGGGAAGAAAATGCTGCAGACTACTATAATGTTTCCCTTTGAACTGCGAGGAGTCGTCCCGTCGCAGTCCATCGTTACAGCCTCTTTTGAAAGGATGTCAGCTTTTTCGTTACCTTTAATACCAGATTGACTAGGGATCCATGAAAGGGCCACATTTAAATTTTTAGAACGACAGTTAAGTAGAAATTCTTGGATTTTTAGAGTTATATAAAAATTTTGTCTGGCACGTAAAGGGAATTTTCAAATATCATCCAAAACACTTCCGGAGTCTGTGAAAACTATTGATTTGTTGAGTTTTTTAGAATGGGCTAAACGTATTTGGCTTCATATAAAGCAATAGCTTCTCCCCAGAAAGAGGACAGTTCTGCATGGCATTTAAAGCTTAAAATGATTTGAAAGTGAGGGATCCAAACAGCAGCACCTACAGCTTTTCCATTGGTGGTTTTAAAAAATCGGGGTCCAGTCGGATAATTCTTCTGCCATAGTTTTATTAAAAATTTGGCCGGCGCCAGGTTCATTTTTGTTAATTTTGAAAAAGGTTAAAATGTTTGTTTCGGATATTAGTGTCTCATAATTTAAATTAAATGTTGGGTTTCCGGGAAATTGTGCCATAGGGGGACCATTGACCAATTTTTTGGTTACTATTATGTATCAAGTATTTAGGGATGGAAAGCTGACAAAGTCGAAAAAACAGCGGGTGGTTAGAATTTTTAAGCAATTTTAAACAAGTATCGATCTGACAATTATTTTCTACGGAGATTAAGAGTAGGATCCCCAGATTCTACCTGTAGGGCAGTCGTGAGAGACGATCTCATTGCACCTGCGATTATGCCGAGACACCTTGACTGTATTTTGTCCAAGGCAAAAAGGGAAGTCTTGTTCCAATGTTCGAGTAAGAAGACACCATAGTCGAAATAGCTTCGAACTATTGCGTTGTACAGAAGTTTTTGACAGTATGGATGAAAACCCCACCAGACGCCTGAGAGGGCTCTGAAGACATAAATGCTTTTCTCAGATTTATTATTGATATAATTGAGGCCAGAGGCACCAGACAAACGAGAATCTATTATAAGACCTAAATTTAGTTTCGTCTGTGCATGCTAATTCTTTATTACCCGACAAGCCAAGACAATCGCCAATTTTGGCGGTCGTCGCTGCCGCCTTTAATTAAGCCTGACGGATCGCTGGCTCAGACCTCCAAAGAGAAGGTGGACTTGTTTGCCTCTATATTTGCGAACAACTCGCAACTAGATGTTGCTGGCGTAAACCCACCTAAGCTTCCTCAGTGTTCTTCTGCCATGTTGGAAGTTCGTATCCATCAGAAAGAGGTACTCAAAACGCTAAGCACTCTAGACGTGAATAAAGCCAGTGGGCCCGATGGCATTCCAGCTATTGTACTGCGGAATTGTGCCCCTGAGTTGTCTCCTATTCTGACTCGCCTGTATCGCTTATCCCTTGAGATTGGCCAAGTTCCGAAAACCTGGAAGCTTGCCAATGTCCAACCAGTACCCAAAAAGGGTAGTCGTGCCGACCCTACCAACTATCGACCTATTGCAATCACCTCCATACTCTGTAAAATTATGGAGCGTGTATTGAACAACCGTCTCCTCGCTTACCTCGAAGATAACGATCTCCTCAGTGACTGCCAATTCAGTTTCCGCCGTGGGCGATCTACTGGGGATCTTCATAGAGAAACGCGGCGAAGCTCTCGCCGTTTCTCTTGATATTTCTAAGGCTTTTGACAGGGTCTGGCATACAAGTCTCATTGGCAAGCTTCCTTCATATGGAATCGCTGTCGGACTTTGCAACTGGATTGCAGATTTTCTGAGGGGCAGATCGATACGAGTGGTCATTAATGGCACATCGTCGGATCTGCTTGGTATTAATGCCGGTGTCCCCCAGGGACCTGTCCTCTCTGCAACTCTATTCTTGCTGCACATCAATGATCTGCTCCTAACTCCCGGTATCTTTGGGTATGCAGACGACAGCACAGTTTCGGAGAGATATCTGCCGGATGTGAAGTCTAATGCTGATGTCCGATCATTAAGGGAGGCGATGGTGGAGGGAGTGAATGCAACCCTGGACGCTGTTTCCCTCTGGGGTGAAGCCAACTTGGTTGGATTTAATCCCTCAAAAACACAGACCTGTCTCTTCTCGATGAAACGGAGTCCATTCCATCTGACTCCGACTTTCCGAAATGTCTCCGTGCCGGTTAAAGACCATCTCGAGCTCTTGGGTATGGACATCTCATCCAGCCTCAATTTCGGTCGCTACATCGAGTCCATTGCTAAAACCGCTGCCAGAAAACTTGGAATACTTTCTAAGGTCAGACGATATTTCACATCTGAGCAGCTGAAGGACTTTTACCGAGCCCAAGTTCGCTCCTGCTTGGAGTACTGTTGTCACCTTTGGGACGGATCTGCTCGGTATCAGCTGGATGCACTGGACTCGGTGGAACACCGTGCGAAGAGAGAGATAGGCAATGACGCTCTCGTTGAGGCTAATCTCCAGAGCCTTGACCACCGAAGACGTGTAGCTTGCCTCTCTGTGTTTTATCGGTTACATTTCGGAGAGTGTGCGGAGGTTTTACATAATTTGATTCCCCCTTCCCCTTTCCACCACCGGACGACCAGGCGCGGCGAGGGCTTCCACCCTTATGTTGTCGAAGTTCCTCCCATTCGCACGAAGCGATTTGCTTCGGCCTTCATTATGCGAACGGCTAGGGAGTGGAACTCCTTGCCGAGGTCTGTTTTCCCGGACCAATATAATCTGTTGTTCTAATCGAGAAAAAACTAGTACACTATTTTTGGACGGGGCTAAGGATAGACCATGTTCAGTTAACCACTCATCGAGGTACCTGAGATCTATATTTAGTTGAATCGAGCAGTCTTGAACAGAGTCTGATAAGAAATATAGAGTTATTTCGTCGGCATATTGCATTATGTCACAGAAACTCTAAACACATTTTTCCAGGTCGGCTGTACAGAAGTTATAGAGAATGAGACTTAGTACTGATCCTTGAGGGAGTCGTCTCCAAACTATTCTAGGTGGAAGAGGACAACCCTGAAGGCGAACTGAGATAGAGCGCGCAGAAAATACACACATCAAAAGTGTCTAGGGATCAACATATATTTTTGCAATAACTTTTCTCCTGATTGATATTAATTAAAATTTTCTTTAAGGATTCATCAAATAAAGTGTTTTCGTTTGTCACAGTAACGATAAACCAAGTCACCTTTGCATTAATAAAGAAATTTGCCATTTTCCTAATAAAGGGATTTTTGACATTTAAACCACTAACACAAAAGTTCGAAAAAAAGACTGAAATAACAGTTTTCTCTAAAATTTTATTGGGTAACTTAAACAATTAATAATCCGTATTTCTACCGCGAACACTAACAACACAAGAACATCGGTTTGGCATACTCAAAATGAGTTCATCCAAATCACGCTGTGGAATGGCCGCCCATGTTCGTTGCAACAACAAAAAAAGGTCTTCTTGCGACTGGATACCCTCCATATTCGGCAGAGCTCTTCTCTGTAGCATATCCCATGCATGCTCAATCGGGTTCAAGTCTGGCGACTGAGCAGGCCAGGGCAGGACATTGATGTTAGCTGCGGCGAGAGTCTGTCTTACAACTCTTGCGGTGTGCGGTCGTGCATTATCATGCATTAACTGAAATAAGGGACCGATTTGCACTTGTAGAGGAACGATGACGTCTGATACAATCGTCTCAGCATAAATTTGAGCGTTGAGGTTGCCTCTGATCCAAATCAACTCAGTTCTTCCGCCGATCCAAATACCCGCCCATACCATGATGGTTCCCCCACTATAAGGATGGACTTCTTGGCAGGATTTTAATCGCTGTTGGCGTCCAGGGGTTCTCCAGTGTCGTATACGTCTTGTATCCGGTCTCATACCAAAACGAGACTCATCAGAAAAGCACACGAAACGCCATTGTTCTTCTGCCCAATTTCTGTGTTCAAGAGCCCATTGATATCGAATCCTACGATTGTGCATTGCTATAGGTGGTACCCGTAGCGGTCTTCGGGAATGAAGGTTCACTTCATGCAAGCGGTTTCTGACTGTTTGGTCGCTAATTAAGTTCCCTGAAGAGTGATGAAGCCTCACGGCTAACATCATGGCGGTTATTGTTGGAGCTCTTCGAGTTAAGATTTGAATGTATCGGTCTTGTCTCCGTGTGGTGCAGCGATACCGTCCTCCATGGCGCTCAGCCACGGTACCAGTGCTTCGGTATCGTGTCCAAAGTCGACTGATAACACTCTGACTTGTATTCAGAGCTAAAGCCACAGTACGTTGCCGGGAACCAGCTTCTATCATTCCCACGGCTCTGAGCATTTCTTCCCTGCTTAAATGACGTCGCCGCTCCATAATAACGTTGGTTTTAATCAGTAGTAGGGAAACAGTAGCACTAATAATGTCTTCAATGCGTTGTATGTTTTTATAGGGAAAATATTGACAGCTGATTTTCATCT